GGTAACTTGTGCACGAACATTTAGCAGGACTGCAGCAAGCATCACCATACAAAGCAGGTAACAGAGCACCATGCTATACCACATAGCCCTGGAAAAGTTTTATGTTGTATGCTTTATATTATATTGTGTACCGTTGTGTACTTGTATGACATTTATATAGTTTAAGATGCAATTAATTGTGTATTGTACAGAAGTTACACTGAGCTTTGCATATGTCCTGTGCATGTGAATTATATATTGTAGCTATGAACAATGTTCCTACTTGCTGCAGAATTATACTTTGGCAAAGGTGCAATATCATCATTCTTAGATGATCTGCTATAGTAACGTTGATAAGACGTATTTTTTAACAAATCCAAATATTCTCTTTTACAGCACAGCACAAAAAGATGAAGCTACTTTTTATTGGTTTATATTTCTCCTGTATTCTTCTGGGTGCTATCCTTGGTAAGTCAATGTATACACTCACTTTCATTTTGTATACAATCCTCTCACATATTTACTGCCTACAGTAAAGGTTTAAAAACTAACTCAGCACAATCAGCTATGATTTCCAGTGAACCACAGCAACCAATCAGTGCTTAGCAGCCTCATAAGAGTTTCTGATTAGTTACTGTAGGGTATTCCATATTGCTGTTTGCGGCCGTTAAATAAACAGAATAGGATTGTGATGACAAATATTGCTTAAATACTCATATATTAGAATCCCTATATCTGCCTCTGTATATTTTACTAGAGTACCCTGCTAGACACACACTTTGCTTTTACAGAATACATTTTTGTATTTCTTTGGGTATTTTTTGTATTTATTATAATCTGTTTATTGAGTTATCGTAGGTTGCTGTCATTTTGCTAAAGATATTTACCCATTTTCCCAAGTGCTCTGCCATTATGAGACACTGGTGGTCATTTACTAAAAGCAAATAAACTGTTATCTTTGCAAGGGAATTTTCCTTTAGCTTTAGTGAATGTGGTGAAAATGTAGTTTGCAATTACCCAATTACATACCAGGAAAATACGAAAACATTTGTTTTGGCTTGCACATGATTGAATGATAAATGTCAACAGAGATTCCCCTAATTATGCTAAGGGAAAATTCCTCTGCAAAGTAAACAGCCTATTAGCCTTTAGTAAATCAATGCCATTGCATACGGTGCCCTAATAAAGCTCAGTATTTAAACGTTTATTAAAGTGAACATGGTATTAAATGCTTTGGCCAGACTGGAAGCTAACCAAACAATTAACAAATAAGTCAGTTTTTTTTATTGACATTTGGATTGTTCCATTCCTGTCTCTGAATCTGACCTTGAATTTATTACTGTGAAATGTATGAGTTGGAAAAGAAAACAGTTCTTTGCAATAGCTGTAAAATTAGTTTTCAATGTTTATCAAACTAAATGTACTTCATGTGTTTTACCATATCAGCAAAGCTCAGCTGCTAATTTAAGCTGTGATTGATTTTATCTTTCCTAACAAAAGGATAAGACAAAAGTAAATAAATTCAGCAGAAGAATAATTATGTTGTTTATCATTTTGTAGCCACCTTTTGAAATTTAGTACCAAAGTTGTGAATCACAAAGATAAAGTTTGTGCCTGAGTGAAAGTCAAGAAGTATGCTCAGTTGAAGGTCAAAAAGTATGCTCAGTTCTAGGCCATCCAGAAGCATCCAGAAATTCCATGTCAGTTTAAACAATGCTAGGCTAGCAATAGATGGGCAGAAGGTGGTGGGTAGGGAGTCTGCTGCTGTTTCTCATAGGACTCACCCTATAAGCCGAAGCAGCACACAGGCTGCCTTCCCTGTACTCACTGGTAAGAAGGAAGGATCGGCCAGGTCGTATGGAGATTTTCAAACTCAACTACCAGCCCTTCCATTGTCAGAAGCTCTGCAGGGATAACCCATACATGGTCTTACCCTGCCCTGCTGAAAGTGGCATCAGGATGTTATGAACAGCTTCATTACAGACTAGAAGCTTTATCAGTCCCAGCTAAGCGCAACTCTCATTAAAACCATATTATATCTGATGTTGCAATCACGTAAATGATCATATTGCATTTAAGTAGGCCCTACATGGGAAATGTAAGCTGTTGGAAATGACCATAACCTTGGATTAACCTCTTGCAAATACCTTAATAAGTTAATGCTGGGCTTTCTCCCTATTACTACCTTTAAGATGTAATCAGGAGAGCTGTCTTATGTCTATTCATGTCTGCTTTGACAGCAATGATGAATAGAACATCAGACAAAATGCCAACCTGCCCCGGAGAAAGTTAGTGTCCATGGTCTCCCATTATGATCATGTTCTTGTTATATATTCTTTATCTAGAGGCATTAGTGCAGAACCGAAGGGCTGCTGTACGGGCTATTCCCTATAGCCCGTACAGCTCCCGAAGTTGGTCGAGCCGAAGGCATATGCCTCGGCTCGACGGAGCCGCGGGGAGGCCGAAGCTGGCCGAATGGCCGGCCATTGACCGTCCGACAGCCTGCGTCTGGCGGCTGGGCGGAGCCAGCCGTCATCTTACGGCTGGCTCCGGCCACATGCAGAGAGATTAGCGTCCCTGGTTACCAGCTAACCAGGGACAATGATCTCCAGACAGCAAACTCTCCCGGGCGCTCCGGGAGTCTCCTACTCCCGGCCGCCCAGGAGAGAAACACTTTTTTCAAGAACGGTTTACTCTGCTCGATTGCCGTTGGCTGCCGTCAGAATAAAAAAATATATATTTTCACCAAAGGAATGCATTGCTGGATTCCTATTGGCTATTTCAATTTGCAATAGCCAATAGCAAACTAGCTATTGCACCCGCCCACTGTTGCTGTCAATCAGCAGAGGGGACCTGCGGTTCTCCATCAGGTCCCCTCTAGTGATTGACAGCAGCAGAGGGTGGGTGCAATAGTTAGTTTGCTATTGACTATTACAAATTGAGATAGCCAATAGGAATCTAGCAATGCATTCCTATGGCTAAATTGTTTTGTTTTTTTTGACGGCAGCAGAACCGCCGGCCAATAGAAAACAGTTGGGCAGAGCTAGCTGTCACTGCTAGCTCCGCAGAATCATTTTCAAATTTTTTTGTGTACTTTTTAAACTATTTTTCTGTTCTGCTCGGTCCCACATAGGGACCGAGCAGAACAGCCGAGCCGAATGCCGCCCAGCCGCTCATTTACTCACTGCTGTTCGGCATCTATAAGAATAGACCGAACAGCAGCGAGTAGCCTGTCGGAGGTTCGGCTTAGCCGATCCACATGTTGGATCGGCTGAGTCGAACTCCTTCTGCACTTCGGGTCGGCCGAACATGCTGAGCATGTTCAGCCGACCCGAAGCCACACGAAGCCATCCGATGTACGGCTGATTTCAGCCGATATATGTCTGAAATCAGCCATACCACCCTGAAGTGAATAGCCGAACAGCGTTCGGCTCACTTCGCTTGAGGTCAGTCGTTCACTCGGCTGCCTAAGGCAGCTTAGTGAATAGACCCCTAGGTGATTAACTTTATGCTATTTTCTAAAATGCTCCACTTCTGTAGGTTTACAAGTATAACAATAAAACATTTTTATTCAACAAGGATAGACCTATGTTTCTTCCAAGCAGGTTGAAATGCATTTACTGTTGATCGATTACTGTATTTCCTACAGTACATCCTGATTTTAATAACGTTTTTATTGAAAAGAACGTCAGCACTACTTTTTATATATATATTATATATCATTCATTTTAAATGTATTCATTTCATTTAGCACAGCACTAAAATAAATGACCTGTCAACACTATTCACATCACACAAGCAGTCTGTGTTAAGGGTGCAACTACCTGTGTAATAAATGCGTGTGTTCTCTGTTCACTTCTGGGGTTTACATTTTTAAAGTACCCATTGCAATCATGAGGATTTGGCCATTTCTATAAGAATATGGCCAACACGTGGCACTG